AAAAAAAAAAAAAAAAAAAAAAAAAAAAAAAAAAAAAAAAAAAAATTGAGAAAATTAAATAAAAAAATAAAAATAATGAAATGAGAGTTATGAAGAAACATTTTAGGACTGCCCAGAAACCAGGCAGGACATGGTCATCCCACAGACATAAGGGTGCTGCAATTAGAGACAGTACTACAGATAGAGACTGAGCTATTTAGATCCTTTTTACTTCTTTTTTTTTTTCTTGTGTGAGCCAGGACTATGCAGTGCTGAGACCTGAACAGGACCATAGGGCATCAACTAGAGATCTGGCTGTCTGTCCATAAGCCCATGGAAATTCTTCTCTCTTTTCATTATTTTCAAGTGTAAAACTGAGAAGAGGCAGATGTTGTGACAACTTTATCAATCTGGTTCTGTTTATCTTACAATCATTTTTCAGTAGGACAGACCAAGAAAATTTTGTATTGAAGAAAAAAGAAAAAGCAAAGCTATGTTTATTTTTACAGCACAGCATAGCAAATTCAGAAAAATAAAACATCTGGAGATCTTTTGTATCTGCAATGATCTAAGAGTGGGTTACATGAAAGAAGGAGAAATGGATGCTAAGCTAATTCACTGGCATCACAGCAGTGCTTAAGACTAGTTTAGTGGGACAACTATTAAAAATCTAATTTACAGAAGAGATGGGAGAAAAATTGCTTTTGAGTACACAGATAAGAAGTAATCAATAAGAGAAACAGGGATGCTGGTTAAAGAGGAAATATTACATATTAATGTATTATTAATACATCAATACATCAATACATCAATAATATATTATTATTATAATATAATATATAATATATATATATAATATAATATAATATAATATAATATAATAATAATAATAACCAAAAATCACCATACACTGGATTTCACCAAAGCAGCCTGTTCTGGAGAAAGACAGTACGTGGGTCCCATACCTTGTCAGAAGATCATGTCGAATGGTTTTCAGGTGTAAAAGAGAATTGTCATCTTCTACAAATTTAAACAATTCTACTGTGCTCTTCTGATGGGGATGGTTCACAACAAAGAGGTACACGGTGTCATCTTAAAAAAAGAAATGGAAACAGTTGAATTCTCAGCAGCAGTTGAACAGTTGAATTCTCAGCTGAGCACCCCCAGTGCTGATGCAGCCTCTAGTACAGAGCACATGCCAAGTTTGGTGCATTTGTCTCAGGGCTCTTCAGAGGCAGATGCACAAATACCCATGTACTGCAGGATGCGTCTGCAGTGAGGTCCAGATCTCCCACTACATTTCTCCCAGGCTCACTCAAGGAACTGCTGTGTAAACTACATTTTTGCTACTTCTATCAAGGAAGAAAGAAATCACAACCTCATCCTTGTGCCTAAGCCAATGGGTTTTGCAATCTGGGAAACAGCCGCAGTCAACTGGAAGGATTTATGGCCCAGCTAGTTCAGGGTCTTTGGTTTTCTTACCCCTTTCCCTGAGAAAGCAGAACGAGCTCCTGTACCCTGGGGAAGGCTGCAGTCCTTCTGCCCAGCCCTTCTGCTAAGACCCTGAATTAGCCACCACTGATTTCTCCAATACCTTCCCTTGAAGGGTGACTGTATGGGGACATAGGTCAAGCTGCAGCAATGGTTCTCTTAATATCTACAGACTTCTAATTGCCCTGCTTAAATCCCCGGTGAAAAGACAGGCAAAAAGATACCTTATTGGTAGTCAGAACCTGACACAGGAGAATATGTCTTGGAGAAGAGAGCCTGGCTTGGCCAAAGAATAACAGAGGTTTTGGTAATTTACAGAGACTTGGTAATTACTGTTCTGCCACAGAAGTTTCCACTCTGGGCACTACCAGTTGGTGAAGGGTGTATCTCCTCAAAATACCTGAACTCAGTGTGAGACAGGTGTAAACTGCCAAATAAATTTTCTGTGGTTTTCAACTCAAACTTTTCCAACGTTTCCTTTCCTTTTAATATACAGGACATCGTTCTGTTTCAGACAGACTGAGATTATGTGCAAGGGTGTTTCCTTTGACAGATGACACTTAGAAAATAGCCCAACAAAGATAAAAAACCCCAAAACCTTTTTGTCTCCTAGCAAGAGCAAGCTATTGTGGGTGCTGCAAAGGGATTTCTGTTTGTGCTCTTTAGGACAATATTTGCCACAACCTCAAGCTCTTTACCTTTGTCTATATAGGTGCTGATTCCATGAGGGTTAAATGACGACAGATCAAACCCTCGGCTGATTCTCAGTTCCACTGCCCTGGGATAGTCTTCATTCAAATCCATCAGAAATATTTCACCTGGCTTGTCTGGAGCAAAGCTCGTTAATCCTGGATATTTCAAGCCCTATAGAATCAAACATAAGAAAATTATTTCTGGATAAAAGGTAAACGGGAGCATCACAGGGCTGAAAAAGCTGGAGTCTTGCTCCGACTTGCAAGAACACATCAGATGTCCCTGTTTCAGCCTGCTGAGCCACGATGGAGGGGGAGGGACTGGCCCTGCTCTCCCTAGCAAGCCCTCAATCACAGTGCCGAGGGAGCAAACTGTATGGAAGGCACAAGGAGCCATGCCCAAGGCACCACAGCCCCCACTGCAGCCACACTCCGTATGTCAAACCCCTCTACAAATGACACCCTGTGGGGGAACCAGGCACCACTACAACATGGTAAAGACATGGGAAACAGCAGCAGTGCAACAGATCATGATTTCTGGCATGAATTTTGCAACATTATCATTCCCTGAGTGTCCCTGGAACATATAGATGAAAACATCAGCTTTTGTTTTAGAAAATGATCACCTGCTATCCTGATTGCAGAGGAAAGGTGGAAAACCTATGTCCTAAAGGCTAAAAAAAATATCAGGAACAACATAATCAACCCAAAAAAATCTGATTTTTTTTTTAATTTCGGAATTCAGACATCTTCTTAACATGGCAGAGTATTGACATTTCAACATTTCAGTGAAGCAGCATGAAAGAAAGTCAAGGTTTGTGGGCAGATAAGTCAGTGCAATATATATGTGTCAGTGCAATATATATGTGTCAGAGCCACCAACACCTCTGTGTGTTGGTGCACTTGCTCAAGCACAAGGGAATGACAGCTAAGCTAACACAAGACTGGGCTGATCTTAGGGAGCCAGCCAGCCTTGTAGAAAAAATTGTTCCTCCTGCTATTTTCATCTATGGCTTCTGCAGGTAAGGAAGAAAGCAGGCCCCTGCATGGGGAGGTGCCATGGGCACTTACAGAGCTGATGAAGGCTAGTCCATTGGGAAGTATGTCAATGTCTTCGGAACCAGCTTCTGCGAAACGAAGATAAACAGGGGTTTTCAGGTGACAATAGACATTTCCCATAGAAAAAAAAATCCTTTCTAGTACAATTCCAGCTCTCATGAATGACCCTTTCTGATATGACTGCTCATGCAATGAAGTTCAGAGGAAAAGTTCACGTTGCATTAAAAGTGGTAGCAAAAGACAGCATGTCAGGTTAGGAAATAGTACTACAGCTCACTTTGTTTTGGGGGCTTAGGGGTGTCCCTGCAGTGGCCAGGCAGACTCTCACCATGTGCCACCGGACAGGGTGGGAAGAATCACCAGGTTCTGACGACAATGTTCTGCAGCAGTTAGTGTGGGCAACGAGATTTCCAGGGCAGGACCATACCCATGACTCGGGCCTCAGGCTTGCATGAGGTAGCTCTGAGAATTCTGCACACTAATTCTCCTGGCTGAGCTGGAACACTCCACAAAGATGGATTGCCAAATATTTAGTTAAAGCTCTCGAGTGACAGAGAACCTACTGTGTCTACAACAGCTAAGGGCTTTAATAGTTAGACCACACTTTTAACTGCAGGTAATCCTTTCCAATATTGCCAATTCCTGTATATCCTGTAATATTTTTTCTCTGGTAGGAAAGAAGATAAAATAAAACCCCTTTACTAAGGACACTAGAGTAATTTTAGGCTTTCATCAAGCACTCTCCATAGAGCTTTGCATTCAAAGCTGAAGCCCGTTTGCCATCCCACATTTCCACCACTCCCCTGAGAAGCCTCCCCTCTCCTCTCCAAATCACCAGCAAAAACAGAATTCCCCACAAGCCACTTTCCAGATGATTACAGAAACCACTTAGGAGCATCAGCTTAAAGAAAATTCTTCTGTGCGTTTTCTTTAACAGAGCTACCAACACAAGGCTAATTTACCACCCAGCTTGTCCTGTGCCTCCACACCCCCTCCTACTTTGCTATAGACTACACATGTGAGCCTGCATGGGTCACACCATCCCTGGCACCTCAATCTCCTCCCAAGGAAGCATCTGCAAATTACAGCTGGGTTTACTGTTTGCTTTTATGTAACTCCTATTTATCCTGGCACTGATTTGGCTGGGCTGTAATTTATCCTGGGACCACTGAGAGCCTTTGTGGAGAGGAATGAGAACCCCCAGTTCACCCATCCAGGAAAGCTTCTCCCCAGCTCAGCTCTGGGAAGATGCAGTGGCACAACTACTTACTGAGGGCCAGGGAAACTCTGAGCCTCAGGAAACTCCTGCTCCACCTCATGACTCCAACAAGCAGAGCATCCCTGCTTTCTGAAGAGCAAAAGGTCTGAAGATGCATTTTAGGGGGAGCCAGCCTGTTAACCCACCCCTGGGGTTTTGCTGGAGTTTTCACTGGGCTCAGGCAGGAAGCAGATATCTGCACTGATATGTCCAGAGACATTTAGAGCATGTATTTTCCAATTAAAATTTTGAATTGGGGCTTTTTTTTTTTTTGTCTTGGTTTACACTCTGTTCTAAACCAAAAACTCCCTTTCTTTGCCTCAGCCTTTCCACATTTGGGTTAATTTATAAAATGGGGTTAGTGGCGATTCTCCACTTGCCAGGATTGCTGCGAGGAAAAAAGCACAAATAAATGCTGAGAGGCTCAATTGCCATGGTGACATGAGCTGGACAGACTGCTTTTACTGGCAGCACACACTGGTGAGTGAATAAACAGAGATATAATCATTTATCGCTACTGAGCCAGTGAGGCTGCCAAGCAGAAAGATGAGCAGGCTAATTGGGAGCAGATAATTAAAAACTACAAGTTTCTGGTGGAAGGAGAGTGCTCAGAGCCCCGCACCCAATTGCTTCAGAAGAAAGTGCCCAGCAAAGCACATTTCAGGCACTTCATGGCCAGGTCCTGGTATGCGTGGAAGCGACTGAGTGCCATCAGAAGAGCAGCGAAATGCTGACTCAGCGCAACCCTGCTGAGCCAGCACCATGGAGACAGTGAGAAGGGGATGGAGACACAGCTGGTCAGGGAAACTCACGGGCTCTCCTGCGGCCCCGTTTTGGGAGGCTGTTGCAGGCACTATATGGGACGAGAGAGTTAGGAAGTGATCCATTAGGTAACAGTGACCTGCAGGGTATTGCTTAATTGTATCACTGAGCCCACCTTGTCCATTCGATTACCTGAGCAGGCAGCATTTTTTAAAAAAATTAACAAATATTGAGAAAAATTAATGCATACTCTAGAAATGTTGGCTTTTTGTTGTTCTTTATCTTAGTTTGATGTATTCTGCAGGTGTATCTAACAATAAAAACCCCATCTGGATTTCATGTCCAAAAGCACGAGACTGTTTTGCCTATATCCCAGGAATTGTTCCAAGATGAAAGTATTTCTTGCAACTTCTATTGTAGCTTCTTGAACTTTAGGAATTAGGACAAGAGATATGGTTAGTTTATTATAAACCAGTAACATGATTAAGCACCAATAAAAATCAGAAGCTACTGTTTATTCTGCAAATATAGCCTTTCCTGTGTATTTGTGAATGAAGTTTAGGACACACTGCAATTTTTTATTGGCTTGTTCAGTGTTTGCATTTGTGCTTATGTTGCACAATATCTGAAAAGCAGAATAGATCAAAGTCTTAAAAACAGAGATACAGAAAAGATGAAATTGTGCAGAAAGAAAAGGGGATAGCTTAAGATTATTTTGCTTAGAGCTGATCCAGCTCTGGGACCTATGTCTCACTTAAGAGTTCAGAAGGACTGTTTTAAACATTAAAATAAAGACATAATATTTATTAAACTTTATCCTAGCACTTTAAAGGAAAAAGGCCCAAGAGGCCAAGAGGTCCATGGAAAAAGGCATCCTTACACAAAGGCACCCCCAGGAGCAACCTTTCAGATCTGAGTACAGCAAAGCAAAAGTGTTACAGGAGGACAACAAGAAGCATAAATGAAGCTCTGTAAATTGATCCACTGCACCTCCAAGCAGAGATGGGTTCTCAGAATTCACCTGATCTCCATGTAAATGTCAGGCACCAAAAGTGAAATACTGTTAAAAATGGAACACAACTCTATTTTTTATTTCCAGCTTTCCCTCTTTCCTCAACACAACAATCATGTTGCAAAAAAGTCTTAACAAGATTGCAACAGTGAAATACTTAGAAGAATTATATTAATCATCATCAAAAAAGCATTATTCAGAATCTTGTATGAGTAAATTACAGCTCAATCTAGAAGACCTGGAATTTTTTTTCAAATGCAATTCTGTACATAACCTCAGGCAAATGAACTCAGCATACACTCATTTGTGGCAGTAATTTGACTTTTCAAAGATGTTTCAATCCTGACACAAGGAAGAAGCAAGATTTATGAAACAAACTCAGCAACTCAGCAAGCTCAAAGGCAAGGCTGTTAAAGCTCATCCAATGACCTTTCTACACATGCAAAATCCAGGCAAATTCCAAAAGAATTTAAGACATTTCTGAAAATACTAGGGAGGGGAAAATCCCCAGCCATTAAGTCTACATTAAGTTTAAAAATTATTATTCAGGGAAAGCGAGACACAAAAAAAGCAATCAATTTCAAAGCTATCCATTTTATACACTGGTTATCCTAACCAGAGAGAAAAAAAAAAAAAAAAACAAGACAGAAACACTGGTGTGTGCTAAACACATGACCCAAAGTACAAAGTCAACATTTCAGCCACTCAGTTAAACCCCCGTGCTAACCAGACTAAGATGACAAACATAACCCCTTGCTCTTTGAAACCACACAGCTGCATTGCACAACCACACTGAGCTCCTGCCTGCCACTGGCACCGTGCGGTACTGGCCAGCTCCTAAATCTCCACAAAATGTGGCACTAAGGCCGGCAATCCTGGCTGGCATTTAGCAGCCACTCCTTCCCCATATGCCTGTGGTCTTCTCCAAAATCTTGCACCCTTGCAGCATGTTCTATCTTCAAGATGTCACCAGCTGACAGACACCTGTAGGTACCTGAGGAGCAAACATGCCCTCACTCACCTAAAAGCCAGATCATTTCCTAAGTGGCTCAGCAATGGAGAAGTGTTTGAAAGGTACTCAAAAAAAAGAACAGAAACCTTAAATACTGAAGGCAAAAAGCATTATATCAAACTAGTTTTTCAGGACAATTTTCTTCCTGCAGTTTCTCCCTACCTCCAAGTCCATGTAACAAATGAAAGTCAAATGAGCACTTTGTTTTTGGGATCAGGCTTGGAAGCTGGCTTTAAGAAGCCGTTTCAAAATAAGGCTGAACAAAAGCAATTGCACTCAGTTATTTTAAGCACATACCAATTCCTTTAATGAGCCGGCAGTTCGGGAGCATTACTGGGGCTACTTCCCGTGAAGCATTGAGTCTGTTCCTGCAAGAGAAAAGAGCAGAGTTAACAGCGCACAGACAGTTTTAAAACAGGTAACATTCCTAGTTTTTAGTTTTATTGTCTGCCCCGTCACAGCAACAAACCAGCCATAAGATAGTGAATAGGCAAACCCCAGAACTGACAACAGCAATTGCTGCAAATCACTGTGATAGTTACCCATGTCCAGGGATTAAGTGGTTGTTCCACACTGAGTAACTTCAGAAACTTGATTTTGTTCATGAGCATCAGGAACAAGCTTTTATGGCCCACCACAACTCAGACAATAAAATAAGATAGCAAATTTTCTTCAGGTTTCAGTCACTTAAATATAGTAGTACCCCACAGTTAGGATCAGCATTTCAGATGAGGAGAGGGCAACCTTCTACTCCAACCTAATGGCTGCTTTTGGTGACCAGGCCACCAGCAGTTGCACCTTCTTCATTTTGTAGCCCACATTCAAAGGTCGCTATAGCACTGTTGCAAGGCAGGAGTACTCACTTCCTTACAACAAACAGGACTTGGTAGTACAATTTTCAGCAATTACCCTGTCCCTTCCTTTTCTCTCCTGGTACTCCAAGCATCACTCTTCAGCAGTGCTTACTTCATTCACAAATGCCCACAAAACTCAGCCTCTGGCTCATGCTTCCTTGAACAAGCAGATACAGACAGGTAACTACATGAGTTCTTGTTTCTCGATTTACTGCATTCCAAGTTGTTTGCAAATCTTTATGAAAGACACCTCACAACCAGGACTGCTGTGTTTGACCATGCTGGTCAGCAGTGCCCCAAGAAAATGTGTTGTGTTTCTACATAAAAATGTCAGGATAGAGTACTAGAATATTTCTTCCTTTTTTTTTTTTTTCTCTTGTCCCCAGAAGAAAGCATTTAACCCAACATAGTTACTCCTTTGCATGCCTATCATATACATGTGTTGAGGCTATTGCTCCAACCACAGGAAATTCTGAATGCAAAGATCCCATAGCAAAAACTTGCCATGTTTATGTTACAGTTTTAGGCATAAACATAAACTAAACAGCAGTATCAGTCAGTGATATGAAAAATATGTGAGCACCGTATGATATGTCAGTCCTGCATGTTTTTAATTACTTAACATATGAATTGCAAGTTGTTTCAACACTTTATCATTGACATGGGTTGTTAACATAAGGCCAAAAGAAAAGAAGAAAAAGGGTAAAAAGTGCAGAGGACAGCAAGGGAAAGGGGTCAAGTTAAACCCTCCCAAGCCCTCTCTCTCCAGCCCAGGAGTTCGGACAGAGAATTTCACTGGCTCCCAGCTGACGAACAGCACAGGAGCAATATCAGCTCCCCCGTTGTCCACCGACACCTTGGCACAGCCAAACCCACCAAGCACCCAAGGGTGGCTCAGGGCCATCCTGCCTGAAGTTTGCACTGCTGCCTGCTTAGAGCTTTTCCCTTCCCTGTGTTCATCAGCATTTCCCAGGCAGGCTGCAAGCCACCCTGAGCCAAAAGTACAGCAGGAACTCAGCCAGCAGCCAGAGAGGGATGATGATATCCTGACAGCATTCCCGGGGAAACACTTCATGGTCTGGAATGAAAATAATTCAAAAGGACACTGGTCACAAGCCTGCAGCACTTACAGAGGCTTTTCCAAAATGTGTCGGTTTATCTAGTTCACACAGCCTGAGCCACTCAGCCAGATGGCCTGGATAACTAACTGGCCGTACCAAGAACACAGGAGGCTTGTAATATGTGGGGGATGCAACTTCAAAACAAAGGAGGAAATTTTGCTACTTGGGGCAACCCCAGGGCATGGCACCTTGTCCCACGCTGTTTCTCTTTCCAGTTTCAGTCCTCCACCTGCTTTCCTACTTCACTGGACACAGAGCATAGGCCTCTCCAGCAGGAACCTGTTGCATATTTAAATACCTCTCTTTCAGTTTTCCTCATCTCTATGCTCCAACCTTGGATCTTTGGGTTTTGGTTTTGAAGGGTTTTTTTTGACAGGATTGTAAATCACTTCTCATTTTTGTTTTTGCTCCTAATTCTTTTAAAACTGTCAGCATCTTTCTGGAAGTAGGCCTCTGTTTTGAAGACAGTATGCAAGCTGAGTCCCCTATGGGTACAGTGTTACAAAAAGATAACATTGTGTGTGCATAAATAAATATACATGAACATTATCATATGCATATTGTTCTGAGGAAAACAGTAACACACGTTATATAATTATATAGTTCACATTCACATTTTACAAATTAGCTCAGCACTTTCTTCTGAGAATGAGCAGTTCAAAATGTCAGTGGGAAAATCAGTGTAATTTCAGCTGGTAACACACAAGAACTTCACCTGTTTTCTTCTGTACATGCCACAAAATACCAAACTCAGAAGGAACTGCAAAGACTCTTTGCTGGATTCCTGCCTTCTGCTTGGGGAATAGATAACAGAAACACATAGCAAGAACTACTACAAGTTTCTCTTCATTGTGTTAAATGACTTTTAGAGTACTTTGTGAACTGAAGTTGTGTGTTTCCAAACTCAGCAACCATCCTAAGACCTCTGCTTTGTTGTAGTTTGCTGAAAACACAGCACACAGGAAAAACCCACAGAGAGCTACAGAGATGGGGGATCCTGTTTCTACCAGGAGATTATCCTTTACCAGATTCCCAATATTGCATTTGTTCATTTGATTTGGAGGAGATGTGGGGACCGTTGTTCTCTAAAGCACTTTGAAATGTCTCACCCCACTAAAGCCAGGGAACATTTTCCAGTTCTGCCATCCCAGCTTGTGCAACACCAGGGCAGGAGGGTTCTTCTATCACTGTGGTGTGGATTTAGTACAACATGAAAACACATCTATGCGAGATACCTGGGCCAGGCAGTATAGCCCTGCTTCTGTAATTACCTACAATTACCCAAAATTGAATTAGCTGGGTGTTGTTGATTTGAAATGGGGCATTTGAAGTCCTTGTGGACATGAGCAAAATTATAACGATGTAGTTGCCTTCTAACACAGTAATTCACCTTCACTTTTCTGACCTGAAATGACCAGCTATGTGTTTGGTAGCTTTCAGGACAGAAGCCGCTGTAACACCAGTGTTCACCTCATGGCATGAGGTATATGATATGGATCATGATATGGCTGGGTATTTCAGCTGCAGCGAGGTCACACCTTAGGATCACCGAAGCCTGTGCTCCGTCAGAGGAAACCTCATGTACACAGGGGCTGTTGTTATCCAGAGGTCAGCTTTGGTAGAAAGTAACACATTTCCGAAAAACTGATTTCCACTTACTGTTTGGCCAGTTAGTGGGAGATGAAATAAATTTGCAGATATTGGGGTCTGATATATCCCTGTTAACTGCAGCCTCTTTAAAAACAGAGGTACTGGCCCCCTGCCCCAGGGCACCCTCTCCCTTTGGCCTCCTGGCTCCCAGCATCTTCCCAGGAGAGTTTCACAATCTCGCACCGCAAAGGGCATTTCCATTGCACAAATGCTCCCGAAGTTAGTTTTTGAAGAAAGAGGATGAAAAGGGCATCGCAGTGCCTAGTTTTTCTCTGGGGAAAAACGATTCCCTTGAAAATGATGATGATAGCGATGGTGATGATGAAGAAGAACCCTTCCCCTCTGGCTGCCACTGCACTTGTGCAGGGGCGGGTGTCCGCCGAAGCCGAGCCCCAGCCCGGGAGCTGCGGTGCCCGCCAGCTCGAAGGGCGAGAGGAGCCCTCGCCGCCCCGCGCCCGCCTCAGCCCCGCGCTGGTGCTCCCACCCGCGGGCCGCCCCCGTCCCGCACGGCCCGCACCGCCGCTCCGAAACCCCGCAGGGCGGCTCCTACCGAAGGGCCAGCAGCCGCTCCGCCGCCAGGGCTGCCGCTATCCCGACAAGAGCCACCACCAGCGGCTTCCCCATGGCCGCTCTCCGCTCCGGGCTCCGCCGCGTCCCGTCCCGTCCCGCCCCGCCGCGCCTGCCGGGGCCGCCCCCGGGGCCCGACTCCGATCTCCCGCCGGCAGCGTCCCCTCCCATCCCATTCCCTCCCCTCCGTGCCCCGCCCGGCCGTGACCCGCACCCGCTCCACCGTCCGCCCGCCTCACGGACTGCGAGCACCAGGGACCTGAGAGCCCCAGTGGCCCTCTGCAGGCTCGATGCTACAGCTCCCAGGGGAAAGACAGGTGGACCAAGTTCCAGCTCTGCTATTTAAAAAAAAAAAAAAAAAAAAAGAAAAAAAAAAGAAAAAAAAAGAAAAAAAAAGTTTTGTACAAAAAGAAGTGTATCTGACCAAGATTATGTGATGCAGAATGTACAAGTACTCCGTGTACACCTCTAGACTGAGATGCACATGCTAATATGTGTGCACTAACACCAAAGTTTCCCCCCAAAATCATGCTTCTTCCACTGCCATGCTCCCTCCAACAGCTTTCTCCTCCGTGCAGGACAAGGTGTGCAGAATCCACCTTGGGGCTCCAGAGTCCCTCCATGCAGCAATCTGCTTTTGCATCATCTGCAGCACTGACCTCTCTGGGCTTTTTGATTTTTTGGGGAACACACGTTAGCAGGTTAATGCCCTCCCTTAGCAGTTATCTTCCCTTCCCTGCACAGTGAATGCTCTCACCTGCAAGGTTCACATTCTTTTGCATTTTGCTGAAAATCTGACCAATCACTAAAAAACACTTCTCTGCTCTTCTTGCCCTTGCCCTTGAGGCCAAGCATATGCTCCATATGTAGTAACGCTTAAAGTGTGCTAGAGAAGAGGAGACACTCTGAAATTTCTTTTCCCCTTTGTTTTGACATACCTCTTTTCCTTTTTTGGGTCCTTGATTACTTTGGAATTATAGGTAGATGAGATTTTTTTTTTTTTTTTAGGAATCCAAAGGGTTGCTGTGACCAAAGTTCAGGACCCAGCACTTGGCCCATGTTAAACCTCATACCACTGGCTTCAGGCCATCAGTCCAGCCTGTCCAGATCCCTCCGTAGAGCCTTCTTACCCTCCAACGGATCAGCACTTCTGCCCAACTTGATGTCATCTGCAAACTGACTGAGAGTGCACTCAATCTCCTCTTCCAGATCACTGACAAAGGTATTAAATAGTATTGGCCCAATTACTGAGCCCTGGGCAACAGCATTAGTGACTGACCACCACCTGGATTTAACTTCATACACCACCACTCTCTGGGCCTGGCCATCAAGCCAGTTTTTTAGCCAGCAAACAATGTATGCATCCAAGCCATAAGTGTTTTCTCCAGGAGAATTCTGTGGGAAAGGATGTCAATGGCCTTAGGCAGACACCTCCACAGCCTTTCCCTCATCCTCTAGGTAGGTCACCCTGTAATAGGAGGCCGGGTTGTTAAAGTAGGACCTGTCTTTCACAAACCTATGCTGGCTGGACCTGATCCCCTGATTGTCCAGCACATGGTGCATGATGGCACTCCAGGTGATCTGCTCCATGACCTTCCCTGGCGCTGAGGTCAGGCTGACAGGACTGCTTATAGTCATGCATTGCAGCACTCCAGTTGTGTATGTCTTCCTACCCTGTTTCCATGACAGTAACTATACCATAGATTTTCCTGCTGCATAATGGCTTGCTGCCCCTCCTGTTTGTTGCCCATGCTGCATGCATCGGAGCAGACGCACTTCATTTGCACTGTTGATCCTGCCACTTTTTTGGGGGTAGAAGCCCTAAGTCCTGCATGACCATTTTCACGTGCTTCTGTGATTTCTAACACACAATAACCCCTACATCTTTGCTGCTGGATGGATCTCCATCCCTCTCTGTCCCCCTGCCACTGAGGCAGCAGACTGAAGGAACTTGCTAGCATACCATCCATCAAACATTGGTTAACTACCTCCAGGCTTATCTCTAATTATTAATAATAGTTTTATCCCTTTGCCCCTTCAAATCTAGTTTAAAGCTTTTCCAGTGAGCCCTTCTAACTATTGTGCAGAGATCCTTTCCCCCTCTGAGACAGGTGTGTCACTTTTTCACCAACAGGTGTGATGTTGTGTAGATTGACCCATGATCAAAAAAAAAAGATGCTGCTGGTTTACGCAAGACTAGTTCTATACCTCAGGTTTCACAGCACCACTTTACTAGAATAGTATTTTTTATTTGTTTACTTAAGCCACAGTTTAATGTGCAAGAGCATATACTGCTTACTGACCGGGACTCAATCTTTGCACAAGGTGAGTGCAACTCATTTGATAAACTGTCAGTGTCTGCAGGGGAGATGTAGACATCAGGGACGGTATAAGATTGCAAAAGTGGCCATACTGTGTCAAATGAAGGGTTCGTCCAGCTCAAGATCCAACAAAGGCAGTAGGTATGGGTTAAGGAAGGAAATGGGAAGCCAAGTTTGATAAATCCCCAAAGTTTCTTTCCCAGCTCCTAAATCTTTTCAGCTCAGTATGATGAGGTTTACCTTTTTAGTAACTCCTAATCGATCTATGATTCAAGTACTTTACTGCCTTTCCTTAAAGTGAGTTATGCTTTTACCATATTTTTTGCTGATATCAAACCACCTAGGCACCCTGTATGGTCACGGCAGGAAAACACCTACTTTGAGGTAGCAATTCATATGAAAGGTGCCCACAAATCTTTCCTAAGAAGTGGTCGGTTCTCTGCAGTCATTGGAAAGGAACCTACAGTGACTAATTCAAATGCAGAAATCTGCTCTGTAGATTTCTGAAGGTAGATAAAGTCAATCTCCCTTGAAGTCTCTACTCATCAAGTCACCCTTGACTAAATAAAGACCCTGGGCTTCTCAGCAGCCTACCTCCTCAGCACATGCCCAACCAGCCTGGGGTCTGCCCAATGGCACTGTCAGCATCTGCTGTGGCTTTCCCTCAGCAGCATGCCCCTCTGGCCAAGTGGCAGCAGCAATGCTGGAAAATCCATGAATGCTCTTCGGTTCCAAATCCCCCTGAGGTCTTTGCTTTGGGACACTCAGGAGGGACTTGGAGTGACCTCTTGCCACATAGCATAAAGACTAAAAGCAGGAATGAGCTGTGTGCACGTAATCAGCTGGAGGGGGATAATGTACCAAGCCTGGGAGGGGAGGAAGTGAGCAGAGTAAGAAGACAGGAGAAGTCATATGCTAATTTAGTCATTTAGACTCCTCTACAGTCAAGAAGGAAAAGAAGCTCTCTGTAAACGTGTCCAGGGGTGGATTTGTTCCATCTGGGAAAGCATGCATGAAGAAGAACAGGTAGTACTCTCTAGATGCCCAACCTCACTCCTTCCTTCTCTCTCCCAGTTCATAATAGATGGAAGTGAGACAACTTGCTGAGAAAATAAAGGGTTGGGTTTGAAATTAAATGGAAATTCTTGTACTAAAGAATTTGTAAGTCTTAAATCTTTCTCTTGTAAAAGGTATGTCCTCTACATGTGCTTCTCTATCACATATCAGGATCTTTTTAAACAGAAGATACAGAAGCTATGTACACACAGACTTGGATTTTACAACAAACTATTTCAAAATGCATCATTCTTTAGTCATTAATGAAGTACAGTGTATTTTACCAAACAAACTTTTAAAAAGCTGAAACTCTCTTTTTATCCAGATTTTACTCTCTTTAATAGTGATGTTAATCTGAAGTAAATCCACTGATATCTGCATTGCCAAAGTATTTACAAGGGATTTACACTAAAGATTAAAGGTCAGAATATTGTTCTAGAGCACTTTCAGGGGCTGATCTGAGTAAATACAGAAGCCTACAATGGAGGCTTCCATAATACAATACATGATTATATTAAGTAGACTGTTCAGACCATGGGGGGCATTGAGGGACCCAAGCTCTGGAGGGCATTGAGGACATATCTGATTGACAACTAGAGATGAGTCAGGTAGCGTTCGTTGACACAAAGCTCCTTTACAAATACTGAATAAAATTCAGAAGAGGACACATGGGCATGAAGACAAGGCAGATGTCACTATAGTTTAACTGTAAAAACAAGCAGAAGATGTCAACACAGTGTGAAAAGGTTCAGAGAGAGTTTAATGAGATCTTAAACCAAACTCATTGATTTTGCTGAATACAGATCTTCAGACTGGGTTAATGTAGAGGCTATGTCCATCAGATTACTGCTGACATGCAAGTGCTGAACGAACTTCAGGTAAAAATTAAAATTGGCAGGCAAGAAAGCTGCGTTCCACAAAACCAGGCAGAAATTGGAAGCAAAGCCTGCTGTTTGCCTACTGAAAGAAGAGGGAAAAGCCTTCTAAAGCTGTAGATCATAGAAATGACAAGATTCTCTACAAATGCTGTGGCCCAAAACCACTTTAACCCTGTTAGCTGATCAAAGGAAAATTGCAGATGCCTTGCTCTAATACCTCAGCAATTTCTTAAACCTTGCATTCTTCAGCTCTGCTACAGTTAAAAACCACTTCTTTGCTTCCCATTCAAAAGCAGGGAATAGAGATTCCTACAGCCACTGAGCAGTTGCCACAGAGCAAGGCTCACACCCTGCCACTGCACATAATTAGTGTCACCAACTAGTTAGAAAACTGGAGTTCACCACTGTCACCTAATAAGGAGATGGTATCTCAAGGCATTCAGGAAGGCAGATGCATAGTGCCTTTTACAATCAAAAAGGAAAAAACACTTCTGCAGGGACACCAAGGTATACTGACTTTGTTAACTGCTGAAAAATTACATGTCACAATGACACTGGCGGATTTGTGGGTGAGGGTGTTGAAAAGGCTCTTGCAGAAACACTCTGGCTTACAGCCCTGTCCTGCTTCAAAACAAGCCAAAGTCTCTACTGGGTCTTTGCAGAGCTATCTGAAGACTCCAGAACTGCTAGCCATGAGCAGCCCGGAGGCATCTGCATAAATTTGGGTATGCAAATAAGTTTCTGAGTATATTTTGGTTCTTTCATGATGGCATGAAGTAATGAAGAGGTTCTCAGTGATGACAAGATGTCAGAACATGTCACTGTCAAAAACAGCCCCAAGCAAGGCTATGTCCT